TAATTAAGGCGCCTGTGTTAAAGTTCCACAGTTCCACAGCCGACGATCCCGGCTTAACTTACATATACAACGAGGCCCCCCTCCCCCCCTCCGAGCATCGATGCGTCACGAAATGTTGAGCCGCCTCGAATACCGAAGGATTCCTATCGCTTATCCGCATATTTTCAAGGGTCACCGAGCCGGGCCGAGAACGTGCCTCGCTCTCTCGCCGCCTTCTATCGCGAACTCGAGGGTGGAAATCACCTTCGAACTCTCCTTTCGATTCTCCATTCGTTTCGTCTCCATTCGAAAACGAGAAAGAGAAAAATACTTTCGAGTAAAAAATTTAAAAATTGACCATTGGTTTTGAAACTCGTAATTTTCAGAACTCTGAGGTGAATGAAGAGACTCCTTCCCCTTGCAACAATCTTATCACGTATTCGTGGCCATCGTAAAACAAGCTGGTCGTTCGATCGTGGCCAAGAGAGTGAAACCGAGATAAGAAGGGATGAAAGGGGACGGAGTTTTTTTTCTTTTTTTTTCTCCTCCTCTCTTTCGGGGGGCAAGCATCTTATCACCGTGAAAGGCGTCCACGTCGATTCGAAAGGGAGATTCCTTCGTGGTGCCGTCACGGATTTCATGCATTCCTGCGCGGACGCCGCGGGAGGCTTCCTTAAAACCGAAAGTGATACCGGGCGAGGTGGACGCCACGGTGGACGTGAAAAGACGGGCGGAGAGGCAGAGGCAGCTCTGGTACGCTCTCTCGCGTGACACGGCTCCATACAAGCGGGCGTGGAGAAACGAGCAACGGCGAGAGATAAAAGGAGAGGATAAAAGGTGTACCCGGAGTTTTTCTTTCCTTTTTTTTTTTATTTGTTTATTTATTTATTTATTTTTTCTTTTCGCCACGTGACGAACTAAGGTGGGACAGAGCCGAGTGCACCTGTGTCACGGCAACCCGGTCGGTCGATCGATCGGACAGATAACTCGAACACGAAGGGGAAACAGGTGTAAATAGGCCGATGAATATGACGTTCAAACTCGAATGTTTTCGATTGGGACAAATTTCCTTCACGGGGGAGGGGATATTTAATCCAATCTGATTTAAATATGTTTTATAAGTGGTGAAACCTAGTTGATGCACGTTATGTCTTATGAATTTTTGAGAATTGAATGAAAAGATTAAAAATGTTGGGGTAGTTTTGAAATAATAATTCGATTTAACAGGAAACGGATATTGTTTCGGGTCGGCAAGGTAAGGTAATTATCGTAGGCAACAGAAGCCATTTTCTATAAGGTCGTTTTCTTCTTTTTTTGCCCGGCTTCTAGGTCGTCGATTTCTTCAACGGCTACGGTTTTTGCTTTATGCAACGTTGCGGTGACGCGCAACGAGACCTTCGACGATCTCGGGAGAACGATCATTCTTGTTTTATTAGTGCTCCTTTGCTCTCCTGCATTAGGCAATGTAGAATATTTCTTCTATGATGAACGATTCGATGAACCGCGATGCTTCAACTTTCCTTTTTCTTTTTTTTCTTAAGATTTCTTCGATTATAACGTATATACGCGTTAATTTGATCTCAAAGATGGAAAGAAACGTTCGCAATCTATATCGAGAAACGAGATCGACGACACGCGTTCGATCCATAAAAAAAAAGAAAAATAAAGAAACAAGAAGATCGACCACCGTTCTCACGATACTGCCTCGATTAATTTCCTTCTCTTAGGTAATTCCTTATCGAGATCAATCACAAACCGCTGCCCCTTTAACACGATCGCTTACAAACCATCCTGCTGTCTGTTCCACAGGAAACAGGGGTAGAACCACAGCTGGCGAATTTCCAGGCACCTGGCCAAGAAGCTGGAATCGAGTGGTGGATCTGGAAAAGATGCCCGATGCGAGAAAAAGCGAAAGAGAAAGAAAGAAAAAGAAAGAAAAAAGGGAAGAAAGGCACGAAATCTGGCGGAAGAAAGACGTTCGAGAGAAATTGAGGAAGGGGTTGGCTAGGTAAGAAGAATCTCTCCGCTTTCTAAACGGTATGCGGAAGGGTTGAGGCTAACCTGGCCTCCTCTCTCTTGCTCTCTCTCTCTCGTCTCGATTTTTTTTGATGCCCTACCCCCTCGATGATAGGGCGGTTACCGAGGTACCGTTAGGTCAGCTCGCCATCAAGCTGCCCCTTGTGGTGGGTGGTTTCCTCCTCTTCTTCTCCATTTTTTTCGTCCCCCTTTGTTGACGCTTCTTCGTCCGCTTCCTTGAAACCCTCGTCTAACTGTGATCCGTGTAATCCACGCGCTGCTTCCGCGTTTCGAGGGGCTGCGTCTGCCCTTTTTTTCTCACGAGCACCCCGTTTGGGAAACGTTCTGGTTCTTTTTCTCTCTTTTTTTTTTTTTTAGATTTCGATGGGAGTGGACCTCGTTTTTTTGAGGGGGAGGGAGGAATTAATTTGGACGCGATGCTTTTTTGGAAATGGAAGAATATGGGCGAGCGTGAGAAGGGAAAGATGGTAACGATATGTAGAATTGGAAAGTATTAATTAATTTTCTGTTTTTGAGCTAAAATCGATGTTAATTATTTTATTAAAAATGAGAATCAAATTGTTCAATTTTTCACAAAATTATTAAAATTCTATTTGCACGAGATTATACGTATTATGTAATTGATTTTTGAATAGATAAGACTTATTCAAGGAATAATTATAACGGATAATACATTGGAGAATCAAAAAAATCCTTATACTTTTTACAGAGTGAAGCCTCCAACGCTCCAAAGGACAACCTGTCAATAATCTAGTCGAGGCAACTACTCCCCGTGGAGTGTGGATAGAAATCGTTGTAGTCCTTGAACACTGTGCAAGATTACGACAAGATTTATGGCAAGATTGATAAATTCGTAGTCGAAAATTAGTAGAGACTGAAAGTTTCGAATTTCTTGAAATGAAATGTTTGACTCAGAATGACGATCGAAGAATTGTAAAAACTGTCGTAAAATAATTAAGTTCTAAGAAAGATTTTTAGCATTGTGTAAAGATTTAGCATGGCTGTCGCAGGTAATTTTCGAGCATTCTTTATTTTTCTAGGCCAAAAATCCTTGTACTTTCCCCCATTTTTACGAAACGAGACCTCCCTCTATCCCGATTTCTTTACTTTTCAAGCATGAAATGATCATTGAAATAGTTTTCTTCGGAATAGATTCCTTATTCTTTCATCGAACAACCACCAAGACACTCTAAAATACTTTCTGATTATTTAAATATTTTTTATTTCCTCAAACAATTCTTCGATGAAATTGGACAGAAAAATTTTGAAGAAAATCAACTTCAAAAAAAATCATTCTTCACGATTCTTCCCTCCATTCCGAACAAGGAGAAACTTCCATTGCTAACCGTCGAAAGTTCATCAGAATATTCAATATCGGCGAGAAAAACGGAGAGAAACAAGTGACAGTACGTGACTGGACTAAAAACGAAGAAGGGGATGGAAGAATCCCATGAATTTCGAGATGCAAGGTCGCTAACCGTAATAATTTTGCAAATTTCCTTTTCTCTTTCTCTCGAGGTGTTCACCTCGGTGCATCTCGCTGCGCCCCTCGAGGTCACGGATTCTCTCTCTTTTCTTCTTCTTCTTCTTCTTTTTTTTTTTCCGTTGTCCCATAACGGGATCGCGAAAAATTCGATCCTACCTGAGACCGTTAAAAATAACGCTTCCTTGGCCTTTTTCTGCCTTTTCTCCGACTGCTAGCTCGCGTACGAGGCGCAAAGAGGAAAGCAAGGACAAGTTGGGGGGAAAAATTAGAAACGGGTTATTAGAATCGGAGGCGGAGAACACGGCGAGGGAGCGAAGGTTGCTCGATTTTTCTTCCCGCGAGTGAGCACGTAAAAGCAAGAAAATTCACTAGAAACAACTAGTTCCTGATAGATCGTTGATCAGAGAAAAAAAAAAACGTAACGCTGTTTCTTGCCGGAAGTCAAGGACAGGGCCTCGACTTTGCTAGTTAGAATGTCACTCTCTCTCGCTTTTTTTTTCTTCTTCTTTAAATTATACCGATAAATAAAATTCCTGAGATGAATTATGCATATTAGATACGATAAATGTTGAAAGATATATAATTGAGCGCGTTATATTTATCGTTTAGAAAATAGAACGATGTTGATTGATTTGTATTCTTTTTTAGATTAGCTTCAATTCATCATTTGGTAAAAATCTCGAGATTAAACGAAACTTCTTTTCTAATCATTCCATTACCTCACGAAGCAAAGATTGACTTCATATTTGTTCAAAACGACAATTCTGCTCCCTTATCCAATCATCTTTACGTACAAACCAATCTACACTGAAATATCAACGATAAAATCTCTTTTTAAAACGAACAAATCGTTATTTCCCCGTACATTAATTTATACAGAACAAATAAAATCTTAAGCATCATAGCTTGCTTTAAAAATATACCGATTCTTCAATAAACTTGCAAACAAATTATGTATCTGTAATAACTGTCTAGAAAGGGGATCAGGTTATAACAAGAAAAATACGTTACGTGAGCGAAGGTGCATCGTCGCATATCCGGGGTATGCACCTCGGTCCGCCGCCGTCCACGCCGTGCCAGGGTCGAGGGAAAGAGGAGCCGGGTTGAAGGTGGTGGTGGGGAGGGAGCCGGCAGGACGAAGGGGGAAGGAGGCGGGGAGCTCGAGAGGAGAGAACCCAGTAACCTAGTGCCGAGTCGCCTGGAGGTCTGCAAAAACAAAAGAGAGGAGAGAAGTGCGTGCCACGTGCCCCGCCGCCGCGCCGCCGCCGCCGCCGATCGCCGATCCCTCGCG